CCAATTTATAGCAATAAATGCACACAGCAAAAATGAAGAAAGAGCCAAAATCAACACCTTAACCAAACTCTCCAACAATTAGAAAAAGAGCAGCAAAAAAAAGGCTACAGTCACCAGAAGAAATAATATTCAAGCAGAAATAAATAAAACAGAAGAAATCAGGATGACTAGAAGCTGGTTTTTGAAAAGATTAATAAAATTGAAAAACTACTGGCAAATTCAACAAAGGAAAAGAGGGAGAGAATACAAATAAGAAACAAACTGGGCAACGTCACAACAGAATCAACAGAAATTAAAAGGATAATATCAGGATACTATGAAGAACTATACTCCAACAAATTTAAAAATCTGTTAAGAAATGGATAGATTTCTATAAATATACCACTTACCTAAACTAACACAAACTGAGGTGGAAAATTTGAACAGACCCATAACAAAAGAAAAAACTGAATAGGTCATTAAAAAAATTACCAACAATAAAAGCCCTGGCCCACACAGTTTCACTGGAGAATTCTACCAAACATTCAGAATGAACTGACGCCAATCCTACTCACACTATTCCAAAACATACAAAAGGATGAAATCCTCCTTAATGCATTTTATGAAGCAAACATAACCTGGACACCAAAACCAGGTAAAGAAAATCACTAAAAAGAAAAACTACAGACCAAAATTCCTCATGAATATAGATACAAAAATCTTCAACAAAATCCTAGCCATTAGACTCCAACAACATATCAAAAAAGTAATATATTATTACCAAGTGGGGTTCATACCAAGTATGCAAGGATGGTTCAACGTGAGAAAAACAATCAACATCATCCATCACATAAATAAAACAAAGGAAAAGAACCACATGATCATATCAATCGATGCAAAAAAGGCATTTGATAAAATCCAACACACTTTCCTGATAAAAACTCTCAGAAAAATAGGAATAGAAGGGAAATTCCTCAACATAATAAAAGGTATATATGCAAAACCAACAGCCAACATTATTCTCAATGGAACCATTCCCCATGCTGACAGGAACCAGACAAGGATACTCTCTATGATCACTTCTATTCAACATTGTATTGGAAGTCCTAGCCAGGGCAATAAGGCAAGAAAGGGAAATCAAAGGCATCCAAATTGGTAAAAAAGAAGTAAAACTATCCCTATTTGCTGATGATATGATCTATACATAGAAAACCAAAGAGACTCAGCAAAAAAACTACTGAACTAATTGAAAGATTTAGCATAGTGGCAGGATACAAGATCAACATACAAAATCAGTTGGATTCCTCTACCAGCAAAGAGTTTGCCGAAAAGGAAATAAGGAAATCAATACTATTTACAATGTTGTTGTTGTTGTTATGTGCCATTGAATCGGACCCGACTCACAGTGACCCCTCCTTGGATTTCCGAGGCAGTATCACTATGGAAGCAGACTGCCCAACCTTCCTTCCGAGGAGTCGCTGGCGGATTTGAAGCCAGCCTTCTGGTTCGCAGTCAAGTGCCTTAGGCACTATGCTACCAGGGCTCCACAATAGCTACCAAAAAAATAAAATGCTCACTAGGGACACAAAAGATCTCTACAAAGAAAACTACAAAACAATACTCCAAGAAACCAAAGAGACTTACATAAATGGAATAACATACCATGTTCGTGAATAGGAAGACTGAACATGTGAAAATGTCAATACTACCCAAAGCAATCTATACATTCAATGCAATCCCAATCAAGATACCATCAACATTCTTTAAGAATATGGAAAGAACAATCACTAATTTTTGGAATCACTAATTTTTATGGAAAGAAAACAGACCTCAGATAAGCAAAGCACTATTGAAGAACAAAAAAGGAGGTCTCACACTCCCAGATCTCAACACCTACTATATAGCCACCATAGTCAAAACTGCCTGGTACTGGTACAGTAACAGGCACATAGACCAGCGGAACAGAATTCAGAACCCAGACATAGATCCATCAACCTATTGTCAGCTGATCTTTGACAAGGGGTTGAAATCCATGATATGGGGAAGTGATGGTCTCTTTAACAAATGGTGCTGGCAAAACTGGATATCCATTTGCAGAAAAATGACAAGATCCATTCCTCACACCATACACAAAAACTAACTCCAGATCGATCAAAGACTTAAATGTGAAACTAAAACTATAACGTTCCTCAAGGAAAAAACAGGGGCAAATTAGAAGGGTGGGCAATCTACTTCCATAGTGATACCACCTCAGAAATCAAAGGAGGGGTCGCTATGAGTCAGATCTGATGCTACAGCAATGAGCTTTTTTTTCTTTTTAATTTATGGAATAAATTGACTGTCAAGCATAACCCAAAATGAATAAACAGCTGAAGATAAACTAGATGAATGGGACCTTCTAAAAATTAAACTTTTTTTTTGCTTTGAAAGACTTCTCCAAAAGAGTAAAAAGAGAACCTACAGACTAGGGAAAAAATATTTGGCAAC